TAGCGAAACTGAAGATTTAAAAATTCTCTTTGAAAATCATACAATTTTTTTTTTTATTCCATTTTATATTAATAAAAATTTTTAAAGAATATTTTCATTTATAAATCGGCTGGAAAATCGAACGGAATACAGTGTGTGAAAAGCTGTGTTCCAAGATGTGTGGAAGATCTTCACTTTCCTCGTTTATTCTTTCTCGTGAAAAAATCGCGTCTTTTGCATTCTCACGTCGAGAAATCCCGTTTGACCACTACATTTACTTTTATTATTAAGCAATTCTCCGAAAATACATTCGTGTTGGGCGAAATCCCTTTGAAGTGGTTGAAAAAAAAAAAGAAGAATCAATTTGATGGTGATTTTTTTATGCTCGTGTGTATTTTACTGTGATTTTTTTAACCAGATTTTTTTCTCGCCATAAAAATTGGCGAGTTCTAAAAGAAAAAAAGTTAAATTCTAAAAATAAAATTGTAAAGATAAAAGGGTTTCTTTATATATAAATCTATAAATAATTTAAGATATACAAGAAGATATGCAGAATTAATCTAGAAATCATAATTATTTTATTTTATTTTATAATTAATTCATATAATAGATTATACAATGGATTTTTAGAACAAAACGCACGATTGATCATTGTTATTTGCTGTTAGAATATAGTACGAATTAATGAGATTAAGAAAATATAGTGAAATAAATAATATTTTACAATCGATTTAATCGATTTAAAATTTCTATTATTTATACTCGTGTCTTTGTGAAATTGTAAATCAACTTTTATATATTTTGGAAATTGCGATTAATAAAAAGCGATTAATATAAAAAAAAAATAATAATCAGATGGTATAATCAGATAGATGATAAAAATTAAAGATTTGCCTTATGATACTAACCGTTCTTTTTTATTCCCATAACGATATTCATCCGCATAAGAAATCTAGCGAATCTTCTGATATTAAACACTTTTTAATAAATGTTTCGTGATTGTCAGAATCACATGTATATCATAATGTAGTACACTTAATGTTCAATTAAGTATCAATAACGAATGTATTTAACATAAGCAATTATCCTTTCATCAAAGAAAATTTTCAATACGAAAAAGTGCTGTTCAAGATTTAGAATTATTGCACAATTTATCGATATATCGTTGCTATTTCGCTCGGTACGATATTTGTCGATCGATGAATAGCAAAGACTAATAAGCTTCTGTCTCTGCGATCGATCATATGTAAGTAATTATAATACATACGTTATACAAGAAATTAAAATTCATATATCACGTATTATTTACATAATATATATATTAATTCTGATGTTTTGTAGAAATACTTGTTTTGCTATATCCTCGAAGTAAAATCTATCATAAAACTGTATGCAGATTGAAACGACTCAAGCATAACAAGATTTTTATCAATTTTTTTCCATTTTATTTTCGAAGGATAGAAAAATGGCCTAATATCGAATTCTTCAAATTTTAGGTCACATTTTATAAGTTACTTTAATCTTAATGGAAATTATGGTTATAATGTTTTAATTAATTGTATCTCGATCTATAAAGTCATTTAATAAAATCGACTGGACCATATAGGACAGGTCTAATAATTCTTTTCCAATGTCGAATACTAATCACATGCAAACTTGTTTTATGGAAATATCGGAATTAATGAAACGATAAAACTAACGCGATAGATAAAAATGTGCTATAAAAAATGAAACGGCAGACGGTTGAAAGACATTTAATTGTTCCCAATTTACCGAGAAATCAATCGTTTGTTCCGTTTTAACGAGAGCAAAGCCTATATTGTCTTTCCAATGAAAAAAAAGGAAAAAAAAAAAAAAAAAAGAAAAAGAGCACATTATATCTATGAATATTATTCTCGTTCTTAAACGAATGCATTGTTTCACTTATGCGTGTGCTTCATTATTCAACAAATGTCTAGATAACGAGTTTTTAATTTTTCTTCCTTCGAAAAGAAGAAATTATCGTATCATATATTGTAAGTTTATCAATTAACCGACACGTATATAACTGATTTTAAATGGTTGATCGAGGCGTTGCACGTATCGCGATTATTTTCGCGAGTTCAGGGTTCAATAATAATTTCAAGTGTTTGTTAAATATTTCACGTTAAAGCGTGAAATATTTCTGACATTGATTAATTTATTAGAGAAGAATGATTTATAAACCTCATTTGCAATAATTTATGACGTGCAAACATTACGTATTATAAAATATACTATAAATCACAACGATTATTTTTACGGAATACATTTTAACATTATTTATATAATAAGCTTATATGAATTATATGGTACAATTATGGTTCAGTTTTTTTCTATTGACGTAAACAACGTTCCCCTTTTTCAATCGATCGGAGATCTTGATTTGTTCATGGATGCGGAAGAAATTAATAATGAATCGCGAATAATTCGAATGATGCAATCGACTGGTTCGCTATTTCGATATATTCAAAATCTGCACTTTAATTCTGTATTTAAGAATATTGAATGCTTGATCGGTCAAACAATCGCTAAGTATAAGTTTAATCATTGTTTATCGATTTTTTGCTTTTCGAATTTTCGAATTTTTCCTTCAGGAGGGAAGCTTTCGAAATCACCAGGGAAGGTGGTTTTTGGTGATAAGCACTCTTAACAATGAAAGTGATGGCTCATGATTTCATTGCCATTCACAAGGCCAGAAAGCCGTGGTACCGTGATCCTGATGATTTCGAATCGATTAGCAAAGAAAAAACTCCCCCGAAACTTAGTCGAAAATCAATTCTCCTCGATCGAGTCACGAAATTGAAACACGATTTTTCAAATACGAGAAAGATCGAAATTTTATTTTTCTCACAATTCAATTTCTATAAAAATGAAATGTTTATTCGATCGAGATAAATCGTTAGAAATAAATCGTTGAAAATTACGCGGTATTTGGCGCGTCAACGTGTTCCCAACGTGTGAATTCAGGTTGATCCATCGTGGAATTTGACGGGCAAAAACGAAAGTATGTCGGGGCATGATACGCGCAGGAAAAAGGCTCGAAGCGTTTGTTACGGTGTTATGTCCTTTCAGCACGAGAAAACTGATACTTAAGTGGAAACGTGTAAGGTGGGATGCGTGTTGCGAAAGAAACGCGATTGCTTTCAATCGTAATGTGCAACGTTTGCTTACAAGTGTGGGCTTGTTGTGTGCGCATAGAAATTACTTAACAATGCGATTCTAATAAATTGCTACCTGTGAGCATAATAATAGAAAGCACGAGACGTAAATCTTGTTGATATAATATTAAATTTTTATTTTATCGTGTTGGATCGTCGTTTCCCAACCATTTTTAGATTAACGACGAAACTTTTCGAACGTAGTTGAATCATATCGCCAATTCTAGGAGAGAGATATTTTTTAAAGATTTTCAAGAGATTTAAAATTGTTTCAAAATTTCGAGATGACGACGATAGAGATTAGAGAGGAACAATACGTAGGAAACGATCTCTTTTTTTTCGTCTCTGAATTTGAAAGGAATTTTATAGTTATTTACTGGCCAACTAAGATAATGTCAAAACGTTTGTGAAAGGAGAACGATTCTATTCTATTAAATTTTTATGAAAGTAGGTTAATTTGATAGATTAATCCACTTAGGAATCGATGAAGCATTAACGAGTAATAATTTATCGTTTAGATTATAAGAAAGAAATTTTCGTCGAATTTTTTTATTTTTCTTTGATTTTCATTTTTTTTTTTTTTTTTTACAAAAATAAAATTTCGCTAGCTTTAATTATTCGAATGTTCTCTTTTATTGGATTTTTCTGCTTGCACAAATTAATGTAACATTGATTAACGTGTATTTCTTTTTTTTTAATATTGGAATATTATCATAAATAATCGGTATATTATAACGCATGAATAAACAGATTTATAAATGTGCATTCTAGTGTTGAAAATATATTAAGGAATACAATTCAATAATTTAATATAATTCGAAGTTTGTGAATATTTTGTGTGAACACGAATGATCGTTGAACGAATGTAAATCTATAGCTATAATGAATTTCAATAAATTAATATCATCGATTAGAAAAAAAGTACTATTCATCGTTATTATTGATCTATTATCAATAGACAAAAAGTAGTTCTTGATAGATAATTATTTGAATAAACAAGCGATATATAATAATTCTCTACATTATCCGAATACGTTAAAAAATTGACAATTATCGTCAAGTTTTCCACACTCCTTATAAAAATATACATATACATTCAATGATATTTAAGAACGTACGTATAAATTTGTCACTTACGTATTATTTTCGGTATTCCGTAGTACATTTCGAGGTCTTGATTATGATAGGAATATTAAATTGGTTCGTTCGTTCACCACCAAGTATCTCGAAAACTTACAACTGAGCTTGATTAACTAGGCTTGATAAAAAAGATTTAGTTGTGGGCAGTTCTGGGCTTCTTAGTCGATAACCATTCGTACACTGGCAATGAGAACAGAAACTTAATTCGTTGAAATCTTTTTTTCCCCCGAACTAGATTGATAACCGCCTGTTGCGGTTACGAACAGATAAGACGATTATGCACGCGAAGAAACCATGTTAACTCGCTCACAACAATTATGTTTCCCTGTTTTTATCGCGAGAAGAAAAAGAAATTTTATTCTCTTCTGTATGTTTGTCCCATTTAAAAATTTATTCGAAGAAGAAACACTTAAATCACGTTTCAAATCACGTTTAAATTATCTGCACGTTATCCATATCATTAATGAAGTTAACGATTCGTGTGCATCTGATTTATTTATTTTTTTTGGTATTATGTTAAATAATTTTTTTTCGTTGAATATATGACGTTGAATAATGTCATATATTACACAATGAAATTTTTTTTAATGGAAAATTTCTGTGCAAGAATCACGCATCTCGATACGTGAATAAATTTCAATGAAATAATTTATGATCGTGATCGATGTAAGGAAATTATCGATTAATAACAAACAAGTATGATTGTTCCCTTTATTTATTAAAAACTTTTTCAAAGAAGAAAATTCTGTTTCTTATTAATTTTTTGTTTAACAAATCGTTTCTTCCATCTTGTGACCTTGTTATTAATTAAGCGCAGCAGGATGCAATGAATATACTCTTAGCCTAGAATTATTAACTTATTGATCGAATTTTTTTTAACCTTTAATCGCCTAGTAATAACTAATAATTAACTTTTTTTTCTCGAGTAAACAAGCCTCTTGTTTGCTCGTTCCTTCGTACCTTTTATCGCATAGCAGGATTAAATGATTCGTGGAAGAATCCTTGCAAGTCGGCAGAAATGAACGCAGATTCCCCGTATGAATTGCGTTTATACATTTTTTTATACTCGAAACAATTCCGGATGATTGATGTTATAACCTATCAAGAGATAAATAAAGGGTAATTAACATCGAATTCCATTTATTGTGCATTGTCTTCTCCTCTGATATTCTCCTATTTAAGATATTAAACTTAATAAGTTACTGTTATTATTATTATTATTATTATTATTATTTGTATTATTTTTTCAAATTTACCTTATTCGAACGAAGCGAATACATTATTTCTATATCCTATGGATTTCTATAATGGGGGAAAAAAGGAATTATTTTTCTTCCTTATTCGACATCTTCGTATCTTTTTTCTTGAGATTTCTTGATCTCCTTTAGATCCTTCGATGTCAACTTCACGTCTGATCAAGAGACAAGATTTATTATTTTTTTTTAATCTATTCTACGAAGAAATTTCAATAGTGGCGAATAGTAGGAATCGGTGTGAACGTCCTTACTTGCAAGGCATATTTCACTGTGGAAGGAACAAATAGATTCGCTTGGGCTGTCTAAATCCGATTCTTCCATTATTTTTTTACAACTCCATTTTTTGAAAGGAGTCGGTTTTTTTCGATCAGCCACGCGAGTTATCGCTGTTGCAAAAAAACGGATTACAGATATTAAGAGCGGAAAAGAGCGTAGCATTGAATAATATCGACGTAATTTCATCTTATTATATTAGAACGAACACTATCGACGTAATTACGCGATAATAATAATAATGATGAAGATGAAATCATATCCGAGCTCGGTTGCAAAAATTGTTGCGCATAAATAAAAAAAAAAATAAAATAAAAAATAGATGAATAAAAAATTTACTAACAAGCATACTTTCCGTTAAATCATTTTAACGGATTCGCTAGTTGCTATTGAGGAAAAGAAGAGAGAAAAAAAAAGTATTTGTTATCACGAATCTTTTTAACCGTGAAAAATTAAAATCTTACGCGGTGCTTCCGATATGTACATTGGCGGTATTGTAAGACCCATGCATAAAATATGACGTGGATTGAGGAAGTATTCCCTCACTTCTATGGATGGTTTTATACATCCTAAGATCAATTCTGATTCCGGTATGTGTTTATAAATTTTTCTAACTTTTTGTCTCGGTTTCTTCTTCTCCTTCTTTATCTCCTTCTTTTTTCTACACTTTCGAATGGTTTTGTCAAGTTCGTCCACCTCGTCAACGTCCTCCTCCTCGATCTTTTTCAATTTCTTACGTTTCTTCCTTTCTTTCTTTTTTTCCTGAATTTTTGTCTTCATCGCTCGTTCCGCTTTCCATTCCTCGTATCTTTCGCAGCCTTTATGCATGTTTTATTAAAAAGAAAAAGAAATTTTCAAATATCAAATTATTATTATTATTATTATTATTGTTATTATTATTATTATTATTATTATTGGGTAGCGTTATTCTTTGGATAGCGTTCAATGGACGAGGAGATTATTGGACACGGAGAGAGAGATGTATGGCTGGTTATGTGATTTTTACATTTCTGCGTATGAATATTTTGACTGATTTTTGGAATTCATGATTGGCCGGTTGTAACGGGATTCGTGTTCGAATTTTTCGAAAAGTTTAGTTCGGTTTAGGTGGACATTGCTTGCGGATGCATTTTGCGTATGAATTTGTCAAAGGGATCGGACGGTAGTATCGAGATTCGTATCGTTTGTTTCTCGCTCGATGCATCATGATGTTAATCTTTATCCGATTAACTTCATGTTATATTTAGTATAATTTTTTTGACAGACAAACATTTATCAAAAACATGCCAAAATTCTAAGTAACGTATACAAAAATGAAAATTATCGTTATTCGATATTAGAAAAAAATCGTGAGAATAAATATAAAATTATCAATTGAATCGTATGGAAGAAGATGTAGATTATATTAAACCTACACCTAAAATGATGCAAATACATTTTAACCATTCCTCGTAATTTCTTTCCTTTTTTGGAACGGTTTTAAAAAAATTGTTAAGGGTAGAAAAGAAAAACAAAATTGTACTGCAACTAAAGCATAATGGAAAAGCCAGAAGTGATACCATTAGAAAAAAGAATATACAGAGAAAAATTGAAACAGCTCGCAACATGCGAGCAAATCGTTTCCGACGAAACTATAAACGCCATCGGCCGAGTGACCGAGGTCGTACGAGCCGCGGACGACAACGCCCCCAGTAGCGATGAACACGACGAGGATCTCGAAGAGCAGTACAAAGATATCAACTTGTATCTCGATTTGCCGAATGACACGTATTCCTTGACCGAAATCAGGCCGGAACTTCCATCGTGCGTCCGATATGGCGTGCGTGCAGGAATGACCCATATCAACATGCCAAAGTTCTCGCCATTGTCGAGGGGTCATCAGGTAAATCAAATTTCTCGATCGTCAAAGTGATCGTCGCGTCTTATCCTTATTACTTATTATTATTATTATTTTACGCAAGTGCGTAAAAAAGCTTGGGCCAATTTTAAAACATTCGCCCGTATAATTTCTATTCAACTCGAATGCGAATAGCGGCGTTGTAATTTAAGAAAGTTGAGTCGAGCATCTAACGAATATCTAACCATCTAAGGATGGTTAAAGTTCAACACGATAGAAATACACGGGCAATTCGCATCACGGTGTTGGAAAGATACGTTATCTCTGATTGTTTGGACGATAGGGTGGCGCAACAGCGATCGCGGCTTTCGCGACGACCACTGTGTACAAGTCTCGTTGCTGGAACGAGGCGGTGATCGATCAGATCATCGAGGACGGGGACACGTTCTACTGCGAATCCTACAAAGATATAAACACCGACGATCGCCGATTGCTCTCGATTCTCGATTTGAAGAGGACCATGTGCGTACAGAACAAGCTCGTGGTGAACGTGAGCATCGAGGATGCGGTTTACGCCGGTAAATTTCGTTCCACGGAGCCCACGGAATTGCATCTGGTCAAGGCTTTGGATTTATTCTTCAAACGTTACAACGCCGCGATCTTGACGTCGTCCGTGTTGAACATAGCCATCTGGAAGGACGCGAAATATTACAATCTGTTCGACGGTCAAGCGAGAAGGGAGAGCTGCGAGCCGGCCCCGGACGGCGTCAGCGGGACGGCTAAATTATTCCTGGTCAAGGATCTGATAGGGCTTCTCTTCATCATTCTCGAGAAGAGCAACGTGAAGAACGAGCCCTTCGTCCTGTACTCGATAGCGATCAGCGGCGTGGAACATCACACCCTGGTAGCGGACCCCATGAAACTGGAGAGGCCCGAGACGAAACCTCAGAGACGGCCGAGCGGTTACAAGATGCAGGAAAAGTATCGCGCGGTTGTCCAAGGCTCTTATCACGTGAACCATCCGGTGATCCCGCCACCGCTTCGAGGTCGCACCTTCTTGATCATAGCTTTGGCCGCCCTCGTTTACTCGCGTTTGGTGAACGCGAACAAATGGACCAGCGCTTTGATCGATCTGATTTTCAACCAGTCCAACATATACTTCGTCGATCTGGTCCGCGTGCTCGACAAGAATCTCGGCGACGCCGATTTCGAGCTTCGCCTGGACGACATAATGGGCGACATCATTCTCGGCGCGTATTCGGCCAAGGTGAAGATACGAACGAACGTGGTGCCCGGTTACGGGCAGAAGAGGGGCAAACTGGCGATCGACGATGGTATACGGGAATTCTTTCAAACTCAATTGACCGGTTTGCTCGAGGTGAAGAATTACTTCTACGCGATTTGGAGGCACGACGACACGTATTACTTCATGGATCCGTTCGCCTGCGACGACGAGGGGTTCAGAAGCGGTACGGCCGATATCGCGGGCTCGGACAAACCAGGGGAGGCCGCTTGCGTGACGATGAACAGCTCGATCAACCAGGTGATGGAGACCATTATGGAGAACACGGGTAGCAGAGACAGGGATCCGTTCGTGATCCACGGGGTCAGGGTTTTGTACGTGAAGACCGGCACGACACCTGGCGGCCCTCTCGAGAAAGTGATCTATCGGGAGAAGGGGACGAACCGAAGGCCCCAACCTCCCCCGTTGCCGATGATCAGCCCGAGCGTGTTGAGGATCGAGGAGATGAGAAAGGTGGATGACATGATGCCGAGGATAAGGCCCGAGCTGGAGAAGTTGAAGGACGTGGACGTTCAGGTGCCCGATCTGATGAAAAACGCGGAGAACTACATGATAAAGGACGACGAGCCGCTCACCTACACGATCGTGACGCCCGAAGAGAAGGTGGCGGAGCCGGAGGTACCCGGGGAGGAGGAAGAGGTGGTGGAGGAGGAGGAGGAGGAGGGGATAGAGAAGTGGCGGGCGGAAATAGTGGAGGGGGAGGAGGAGGAGGCGAAGCCGGAGAAGGAGGAGCCGGTGGTGAAGACGGTGAAAGGTTACAAGATCGTGAATCCTCATCGTTTGATCCTCCACGGGTCGAAGAATTGTTTGGACGAGGGTTTCGACGTATTGTCGAGAGGGAAGCAGGGATTGATAGCCGCCCTGGCTGCGATAGCTTACAGGAAACTCAAGAATCCGACCAAGTGGCGAAACATGGACGTCGATCAGTTGATCGACGTGAGCAACAAAATATTCGAGGAGGTTATAGAATGGATAAGGAAGGGTCGTCCCAAGTTGAAGGAGGAGGTGGAATTGGTTGGCGAGGCGGAGGAGGAGGAGGCGGAGGAGGAGGAGGAGGTGGAAGGGGAGGTGGAGGAGAAATTGTTACCGAGGCCGAGCCACTTGGACATGACCATGTTGCCGGTTAGATTGAAAATGGGCGAGAACGACGTGTTCTTCAAGACGAAGATGAAGATCATTCAGGGGGAAGCGTGTCCGTTGGCGAATCTTGGCGAGGCCCTCGAATGTTACTTCAATCGTTATCCAGAGTTGGTGTTGGAGAACAAGAGATTGATGTACGGTATCTGGAAGGAGGACTCCCACTTCTTCATGTTCAATCCTTACGGGAGCGACGCCGAAGGTTGGCGTCTTCGCGACTATCCGGCTTCTTTCGCAGTGACGGCCAGTTTGAACGAATTGGTCGATCTTCTTTACGGCGTGATGGAGTTCAACGATCACCTTTTCACCATACACTTCGTCGGATTGGACTCGATACAGCCCGGCCTCTACGCCACCGAACAAGAGATAATAGTCCCGACCGACGCGCCGATCGAAAAATTCAAGACTTCATTTTTACCGATCACGGACGCCGACTTGAAAAAACTGGAGGCCGAATTGTTGGCGGAACAGGTGGTGGAGAAAGAGCCGGAGGAAGATATAGTGGACATCGAGGAAGAGGCAGAGGAGGAGGAGGAGGAAGAGGAGGAAGAGGGGAAGAAGGTCGTGAAGAAGGTTTTGAAGGAGGAGGAAAAGCCTATAATCGATCCGTTGCTCGAGGTTAAGGAACAAGATCAACCGGATCCTCCCTACCGTTTGAACCTGATCTTATTGACGTCCAACATGAAGATTTACGACGAGAACGACGAGACGATCGAGCAGGTCCACGAGCAATTAGCATTGGAGAAGCTCAAGTACAATCATCCGCCTCCTTACGTTTTGCCATCGAATAAAATCTTGTTGAAGCTACTCGAGGCGAAACGAGCCAAACGATCCATCCCATCTTTGGTATCGAGATTCTCCATAGATTCGAGGTTGGACGTGAAAAAGAAGGCGCCGATATACATATCGAAATCGGCCGTGGTCATGCCAGGCGGGCCGGAAGTCTACGAGCCGATACCCTCGAAAATGATCAAGTTGTCCCCCAACAAATATCTATACTCTAGAATTTTACCGATATGCCTGATGCCTCTCAGAGCTATCGACGATATGTACATCCAAGACGAGACGCTCGCCAAGACTATGAGGGACAAAGAGATAAAAAGATTAGAGGACGAGAGGAGGCGTGCCCAAGAATTCGAGAAACAGGACGTGCCTGAAATACCCGTGGGAATTCGAATACGACCACTTTTGTTGATGCTCGGCCCGATCATTAAAACACCGACCCCCGAGAAACGATTGACCATGACTTGTATCGAGAAGAAGAAACGAAAGTGTCTGTTGCCCAAAACAGACGAGGGTGACGCTCTTATGGAGAAGATTCTCTGCAACACCGAGGATTTGTTGCTAGAATTGTTTTTCCCCGATTTCAAAGCGAAAACGGATCAGGTTCGTGTATATATACATATATATATATTTATTCGCGCATCGATTATCATTATTATCATCATTTCGTTCGTTTTCGTTATTCCCGCGATACGATGTACAGTTGGAAACGAAAATAATAGAGACGAGAAGCAAGCAGGTGTTGTCCAAACTGTTGGAGGTAGAAACATCGACGATCAGGAAGTCGCCGACCAGTGCCCAACAGAAGAAGAAATTGTTAAGGGATATCCCTGGTTTGAAAGTGAGCTTCGAATTCGTTCGATCGAGTTCGTTTCATCCAGCTTTAAATTAATAATAATTCCTTTCTTCTTTTCCTCTCCTTTCTCTCTCTCTCTCTCTCTCT